AAAAAAAAAAAAAAAAGAAATAAAAAATAAGATATTGTGTCCACCTAAAACTTAAAAATAAATAAATAAATAAAATAGGGGCTGAGGATATAGCTCGGTTGGTAGAGGGCTTGCCTCACATGCTTAAGGCCCTGCGTTTAATCCCCAGCACTGCAAAAACAAACAAATAAATAAATAAAATAAAGGTGTGCTGTCTATCTACAACTACAAAAAAATAAGAATAAAAAAAGAAATACACAGTAATAAAATATTTCTTTAATTCCATGATGCGGTGAATGAATTTATATTTTATTACATGACACATCTACATAACTTTGACAAAGGGTTGTCATGTGCAGTTTTGAAATATTTTACCTTCTACCTGCAGTATTTGGTGCATTTAATGGATTTCTTGCTGTGAGTTGGGTCTCTAAGGTCTGAGCCTAATAGACTGTGGACTACTTTGAAAACTTGATCAAGGAAATAATACTGAAAGTATGATTCTTTCATGGTGAGGAACACACAATAGAGAGAACCAGTTAGGCTCTAAACTTATCCATCTCAGAGTGTCTGGACTGGAGTATGTTACTCTCTTTTGCATTGTTTGCCCTCACTAATTTGTTTAACTAGCCAGTTTTCCATTTTAATTTAAGAGAACTCTTAGGACTATGTTTTTTAGTAAATAGTTCATAACCCCTATGAAGGGTATGAAATCAATTTTATAGATAATAATGAGCATTTAAGGGGCTGGGGTTGTGGCTTAGCAGTAGAGTGCTTACCTAGCACACGTGTGAGGCCCTGGGTTTGATCCTCAGCACCACATATAAATAAATAAAATAAAGGCATTGTGTTCAACTACAGCTAAATAATACATATTTTTTAAAAAAGATAATGAGCATTTTAAAAATGGAATAGAAAATATCAGTGCTTTGTAGTAGGGATCAAGTTATTTTTTAAAATCTTTTTCAGGGGTTGGGGTTGTGGCTCAGTGGTAGTGTGCTCGCCTAGCATGCATGAGGCACTGGGTTCAATTCTCAGCACCACATTAAAAAAAAAAGACAATAAAGTTCATCAACAACCAAAAAAAATCTTTTTCAGTTACATAGATTTTTGTGTGCATCAGATCATGATATAAAAATTATTGCTTATTGTAAAATATAGTCAGAAAAATTTGAGCTGGGCCTGGTAGCACAGGTCTATAATCTCAGTGACTCAAGAGGCTGAGGCAGGAGGACTGTAATTTCAAGTTCAACACCAGCAGTTTATTGAGGCCCTAAGCAATTTAGCAAGACCCTGAGTCAGAATAAAAAGGGTCGGCCCAGGGACTCAGGAGGCTGAGGCTGGAAGATCACAAATTCAAAGCCAGTCTCAGCAATTTAGCAAGATCCTATCCCAGAAAAGGAGGGGGAGGGGCTGGGGTTGTGGCTCAGTGGTAGAGCACTGGCCTAGCACATGCAGGGCCCTGTGTTTGATCCTCAGCACCACATAAAAGTAAATAAATTAAAGATTAGAGGCATTGTGTCCAGTTGCAAATAAAAAATAAATATTTTAAAAAATGGATAGTAAAATAAAATTAAAAGAAAAGAAAAGGAGGGGGAGGGGGGGTTAGATATGTAGCTCAGTGGTTAAGTGCCTCTGGGTTCAATTCCTGGTACCAAGAAAGAGTCTAAAGTTTTAGAAACTTGGACCTGGTTACTCAGGAGCCTGAGGCAGGAGGATTGCAAGTTCCAGGCCAACCTGGGCAACATAGTGAGACCCTGTCTCAAAATGAAAAGGGCTACCAATAGAGTTCAGCTGTAGAACAGGTGCCTCGGATGCCTAGGATACATAAGTCCCTGGGTTCAATCCCCAGTACTACACAAAAAAATAAAAATAAAATAAAAAGTTTGAGAAACACTATCTTGAAGTTGGTTTTATTGCGCCCACCCCCCCTTTTTGGTACTAGGGATTTAGCCACAGAAAAACATCCCCAGTTCTTTTTATTTTTTATTATGAGACAGGATCTTGCTAAGTTGCTGAAGGTCTTATTGAATTGCTAAAACTACCCTTGAATTTGAGATCCTTTTGCTTTAGCCTCTGGGATTACAGGCT